CAGAGATGTTACTGTTACTCCTGATTGGCTCGGCTGTGGCCAGTGGCAGGAAGTCTGTCCTGGAGCCGGCTGGCATTGGCTCCACCAGACAGGGGAAGCTTCTAGCAGCTTCTAACAGAAGCCACCCCTGTAGCCCCCCTCCCCCCGCTACCAAAACCCAGCCACAGAAACCAACTACATTTGGGATACTTACGGGATCTTTTTACCTGGCTACCTTGTTCATGGTACTCGTAGGAATAGACTTCTTTCTGAGACCTCACTGTTTCCATTAAATTTAGTTTAAAGTGGCTTACTGGTCATGAAAATAAAAAGGAGGAGCTGAGTGACCAGCAGTCACGAGGTATGCACATGTGCTGCTCACAAAAGCCTGTTTTCCTTAGGAAACAGAGCAGGCAACTTTTTGCTGTGCTGTTTCTGAAAAATTGTGGTCAATTGTGTTTGTATTTACCCAAAGAATAAATTAATTCAGTGAATATTGTTGATGTTCCTTTACATTTTGGATTATCAGACAACAGGGCAACTGGTGTAAGGCATTCAGCAGTGGCAGTGTCCTCCCTCTGTCCATTGGTGTTAACAGGCTGTGCAGATGTCAGAATTGGGGTCATTTGCATCTGATCCCTTCTGATACCTGACTGAAGACCAGAATTTCGTAATTCATTGTCAGAGCAGTTATTTGAAGTCTTTTCTGGTTCAAAGTGAGGCCTTGCCATGTGCATTTGACAGAAGAGACTGCAAACAAAGAAAGGTTGACATAGTAAAAGGCAAATTTTCCAGTACACTTGCCTTGAAGTAGAGCATCTGGTATGTCGATTTTACAGGAAGGGCTATAGCATATAACTAATAGGATTTGTAGGGGAGGCAACAAGCAGAAGCTATCTAAACGATCTAAATATTTGTTCAAATAAATTGTCACTTGTTTCAGTGACCAGCAAAGTTATTGAATTCAAGATGAACCACTTATGCTTCAGAGAAGCATGCACACAGTGTACTTTCACTTTTTGTTAATGGATAAACGCAATGCAGAAGGCATTAATTACTTTAAAAGTGTTTTGCTGGTCTTGTGTTTCTGTGGTTAAAATAACCACCAAGTTATTTCTTTGCGTCCTAAATACCTGGACATTTCATCAGTGGCACTTGAGCACAGAAACATTCCTATGACAGCCTTTGCTGGAAGCAGTATGCAAGTTTTGCATAGCAAGCTGACGTTTGTTGGTTATGGAAGTGCTTAGATTAAGAAGCTACTTAACTCTGTCTTTAAAATGGCTTCTATAACACTACTGCCTAATAGTAGCTTTGTAGTATGCAGGTTCCCAAGACATTATTTGAATGCTACCTGACAAAAAACAAAGGTTAATTATGTTTGAAGAATAGCTGTGTTTTGCTGTATTTAAGCTAGAGTACGTGGAGACAAATAACATAATTAGCAAGAAGGTTTGTAGATCCTGTCAGATTTTTGGAGAAGCCTTTTTGGTTGATTTCTGCCACAACATCATGTTCTCTTATGGAAATCTAGAGAGGACTGTTCTTTTTCTTGCAGTGGGGTTTGTATAAAGATCCTTATGTATATCACATGGTGCCAGAAGGGTGTGGGAGTCTGGGTGAGGATCTGCCAGAACAGGATGAAGACCTAATTGAGAAAAGTACATCAGTAGCATTATTAGAAAGCTTTCTGTTCTGAATGGGACTGGATAAAGGGATGGGAGGTCTGCTATTCCTATAATCTCGGCAAACATCTGTTAATGGATTCCACCTTCCCTTTACGTGTTTTGATTTTCGCTATATATAGATAGCTTTAATTTGAAATGGAACTTTTGTTTCAGTCTAGTACTTGACATTACTCTATTAGTAAGAGGTTTTCAGCCTGTGTTTTCCTCTCAAATGTGGTTGAAGAATCTTGGAAGTGTGTTTCTGAGGTGTTTCCTTTAATAGCTTTGAGGAATCTGAGCTGATGAATTGTTTTGTGAGTTAACTCATGGCCATCTCTTGTCTTTCTGTTTAGATTAGAGGACTTTGCATTTCCTCTTTGAGGAGGTAAATACAACACTACTTGTAGATGGAGAAATGAGAATGGTCTCAGCCACTTTTGGAAACATAAAATTAGTTCTGCCTCTCTTTAGTACACTTGATGAGGTTTTAATTACTGACTTCTTTGAGATACTCCAAGAGGGGGAAAAATACTTGCTTTCTGAATCTTAGTTAGCCAATAACCTGGAGTAAAGAGACTTCACTCAGAGCTGCCTGATAAAACACCTCAGTACATGTTTTCCCTGGAGCAGGTGTACTGCTGTGCCAACAATACTGGCTAAAGGCCAGTTTAGATCACTTAAAATGTGCACCATTTCTTCCCATTTTAAATGTGTAAATGTAAACACTTTATAGCTATGGTGAATGACTGTGGAATGAAACTTGAGAGAGCAGGGGAACAGGGAGGAATAGACACTGGGATAAAAAGGACTTGGTCCATATGTTTCAGTCTCAGACCTGCTTTGCAGACTGCACTTAACAGGCAAGGGTGTGTGGAATGAACGAAGACACTTAACTGCTTCAGCACTTAAATAAAGGAGAAATAAGAAGGAATCTGCTAAAATGCCAGTGATCAAAGAGGAAAGTTGCATTGTGGTTTTGTTTATTTAACAAGAATACAGTAGGAAACTTTGCCAAAAGGGAAGCAGATTAGCTCATTTTTGCGGTATTGGGTAGAACATATCAGTGGTGCAGGTTATGAATTTGATTTCATTGCTAACATGGATTTAAGGTGTGCTCACCCATTTAGTTGTCTGCCTCTTTGTACTTACCATCTCCATTGTCATGGACTGTGCAGCTAGATTCTTCCATTCAAATTCAGCTATTTACAGGGTAGACTGTCCCTCTAGCCTCTTCTTTTGGTTAAAGGAGAGAAATAGCTGCATCTTATTACCATGTACCTTGAGCCTAAAGAGGCCAGGTGAGTTGGACTTCAGAAGTTGACTTAAAATGTGGAAAAACAGTTCACATAAGGTTATTTGTGTTGTAAAAGTCTAATAATAAGGAGTTCAGTCTGATCTTGACTGTATTATGTATAGTATTAAGTATTTTAGTAATAATAACATGTTTAATAATAATAATACATACAATGTATCAAGTATAGTCCTGGAAGCATACAATTTCTGTCAGAAAACTGTAATTGGGCATTATTGTGAAGGCATAGGCTGATATAAGAGGTAACCTTGACAATCCCTTGAGAAGATTCCATTGTCTATCACCTACACGGTTAAAAAAAAATGCATACACAAACGTATATATAAATATATATTACTTTTTACTTACTAAAACTGTAACTGAAAAAATAGAGATGTCACTGCTCAAATGTGACTTCTTTATTTGTTACTTACACTCTTTTTCATTATCTGCAAGAAATGGCGTACTGTTAACTGATTCAGAGAACAGACACCAATTTGAAAACAATACATTTTTGCAAGTGTGTTAAGTGGATGTCTGTTCAGGTGACACATTTTCAAAGAACTGGAGTACAAAAATATATATTTTAACCAATGGTTTAGATAAATGTAAATTCTGCTGGAAGAACTATTGTTCAAAGAGGCTTTTCCATGTTACAGAGTGGAACTGTGAGGCTGTGCACTGGCTGAAATTATACAGATATATCATGCTTTGATGTGTATGCAGTTTTTCTTCTTTAAAAAGCTATTTTATTGAAGTTAAATTATTGTAGCGATATGAAAAGGTATAGTTTGCTCTGAATTTATCCTTAGAGGGCCAGCAAATCATTGCTTTTTCTCTGAAATTAGATAGAAGGATCCAGATGGCAGATTTCAAGCCCATCAGGTGTTTAAAATATGCCCCTCAGCTAAAAAGTATTATAGTTAAATCTGTCATGGCCTTTTTATTGCTCTGTGGTACACTTGACAAGTGCAGCCGTGAAAGAGAGAAGCTACAAGTAGCCCAGTCAGCTTGAAGTGGAGTAGGTCAGTGGTTGGTTTCTTTAGCTGCCCCAGGGAGTTTAATGGACATACAGACCTGGTTTATGGAATCATTAAATCCATCATAGTATAAGCTCCCATGGAGGCAGTGAATTTGTTCCCGTAGTTTTTTCCAGATACTATGGTAGGCATTAGAAAAGTAATGTAAGTGAAACATGGAGGGTAGGAAAAAGGAAACCCTCCCCCCAACAAAATGAGCATTCCACATCCCTGAGGAGTCATCAGTAATAATAACAGCAATAATAAAATGCATCTCAGCTGGTGCCTTGCACTGCATTTCTCAACTGGCACTCACTCAGAACTGTCACATTAGGCTGAGTGCTGATAATTCGTATCCCAGAATCCTGTCGTCTGAACAGAGCAACGTCTCCACTGTGTACTTTTGGCAAAGGAGAAGCACTGCTTTGCAAATTTCTTTAGAAAGCAATATGGACGTTTCTTTACATCTTGACAAACTGCTGCTAATTATGAAAAAAGAGTAACCTATTTGTGTTCATGTAGTAACTATAAGTACTTGCAGTCAAATCTGCTTTCAGCACAGGGGTGATTATTGCCTGATTAAGAGAAAAGGATATGTCTGGCTTATTTATTTGCATGCATAGGCAGATGTTTATATAGACACTGATTTGGGAAGGTTGATGCAGTTTTGGCTTCTTGGCTGCTTCTTGCTTCTTTCTTCAATTAAAAAAACCCAAAATCACTACTAGATAAAGCAGGTTCTCTCTTTGTTTGTTTATTCAGTAAACTGTAGGGGAAGAGTGCCTATAATTTGGTGTTAGCAACAGACTCATTTTGTAAGAGAATAGAGCAAAACCTTTATCCAGAAGGTTGTATGATCATGGTCCTGCATAATCAGTCTCTGATAGCTCTGGTGAATAGTAAGGGTCATTTTTCAGAGTGAATGTGCATGGCTGGAGTGAAATGAAGTGCCATTAGTGATGCCCCTTTTATGAGAATGTTACCCTGGTACAAGGTCATCCTGAGTTAAATGTGCTCATTTTTGAACTCCTCTTGTGATTTCAGATTCCAGAGAGGCGACTACCACATCGATGTCTGCATCAATGACTACCTGGATGTGTTCTGCCCTCACTATGAAGACTCAGTGCCAGAAGATAAGACCGAACGCTATGTTCTGTACATGGTGAACTTTGATGGCTACAGCTCCTGTGATCACACTTCCAAGGGGTTCAAGAGGTGGGAGTGTAATCGGCCGCATTCCCCAAATGGACCATTGAAGTTCTCGGAAAAGTTCCAACTCTTCACACCCTTCTCACTAGGATTTGAGTTCAGGCCAGGCCGGGAATATTTCTACATCTGTGAGTATATAGAGATTTCCCATTGTTGCACAGCAGGTGTAAGAAACCCAGCTAATTTTTCACCTATGTGCTGTGAAAATACAGAGGGCCAAGTGGTATAAAATGCAGATGTCTTACAGCGAACACAGGCTTAAACTGTCCCCAGATACATTAGCTAGGAATCTAGCTAGTGAAAATGAGATTAAATCACAGTTTGTTGTCTCACATGAAATAGCACGTCAACCTGTTTACTGAACCACAGTTGACATTTAAAGTAAAATGCACTTTTACTTTTCTTTCAGCACTCTGAGGTGGAGGAGGATTGGGCAAGAAGGGTAGTATGGTAGCTGTCCCCAAATATGACGAAAATCCATTAATCCTCTTCATATGAAATAACTGGATTTTCTTATTTGCTCAGATTAAATATTCTTATCTCTGTAGTATTTATGACCCAAGGGAAGTGAGGTCTGTGCAGTTTTTTGGTGGTATTATGGTGCTGATGTCAGTGGTCCAGTGGTATTTAAAGTCATAATTTCTTAGGCTAAGTAATCCCAGTGTGTAGCTAAGTGGCTCCTTTTTTCTACCTTCCTTTTTCCCCCCCAGCTTTTTCATGGATGAGCTGTTTCTGTCAGTGTGGGTGATGGGAGTGCTCTGGGAGCAGGAGGCAAGCAGATGAGAAGGCCTAATCAGGGCTGCTCTGGGCACCCAGAGGATGTACAGGAGATGGCATATGGGTCTAAGCAAGTATAAACAGCAGGAGGTTAAAAACAGTGAATTAAGTGAACTGATTCTCCGACTCCACTGAGCAACTCATTTATTTAATACTCTCAACAAACATCTTATTATATCAACTTGTTTTGTACCTGTATCTGTCACTTGTAACAAGTTTCAACTGCTCCAGCAGTACTTTTTTCTTTTTTTAGTGTTAGACTACAGAGCTGAAAGCTTTAGACAGACTCTAGATCCCAATAAATATCGCTTTCATATGTGTAGCTGGCCTTTCTACTGTGAAACAGTCATTCCGGCTCATTTCACCAGAGAAACTGAGTACGTATGATCCCTGTTTTTCAGCCTCATTTCTTCATCATTGAGATTTTTGTTTTCTTTTTCTTAATCTACAGGGAAATAAGGGTCCTAGTGGATAGTTTTCCATTAATTTCTTTTTCTTCCATCAAATAAAAACCTTTAGTGAGTGGTGGTTTGTCATCAGAAGAACTGTGCCTTGTTACTGTGCTTCAGCACAATAGTATAAAAAATACTAAAAATAATTCAAAAAAGCAAATTTTAATTTTATTTAAAACTGTTTTTTTATATAGTAAAATGATGTAAAAATATCTGAGTAAAGTATGTTCAAGGTAAATAAATCTCCATTGTGTAGGCCCAGTCCTACTTGTGTCACTTCAACCAGAGTTCTGTCAATCAGAACTCTGGTATCAGGCTCCCTTGGAACAGTAGGGGGTTTTTTGTGTACTTTTTAATTTGTTTTTGTTTTTTTCCAATTCATTTCCAGACCTTCTGTAAAATAAACAGGAATAGTTAGGTTAAGGAATGCAGTCTTTATCATCGCAAGGTTGCAATAAAATGTAGCACAGGGTTGGCATAAGTAGGTGCAAGCCTAAAAAAAATAAAAATAAAAATAAAAATTGGTCTTTTAAATTTTTAAAAAATAAAAAAAGATAAATGTTTAATAAAGGTGAAAACCAAACATGAAAGTGAAAGAAAAAATTATGAGCAATCTCAGCTTGGGCTGTCCAGCTAATAGCTTGATTTTTAGACAATACGAAATCCATTGAACTCTCAAGAAAGACATTATTATTGAAATACACCCAGGTTGCTTATACCTGCTTTTTCTTATTTGTGGTTAAATTCAATATGTCACTAAAAATCATGTAACATTAATTTAAAAACCTATAACTTTAGTTTAACTGAGTCATTTAACTGCCAAGGGTTCCCTTCAAAATAATTGTCCAAAGTGCTTTAAAACTTGAAGAGCTTTATGATATTCAACTGCATAGAGATGGAATTCTTTTTTTTAAAGAAAGGTAAAATAGCAAAAAATTAGCAAAGAGATGTAAAGTAATAGTTTAAACTAAGCTTCATGGTTTAGGGACAAAAAAAAGGCATTTTTCCTTCTTTTCTGTAGTTTTTTTCCTTCATTCTTGACTTTAATGAGAACACTGACAAGGCTGACACTGCAGCAATTACAGGAAATCACTGTACACTAAGTTAGCAATAATATACATACCTTCTCAGGGCATGGTTGTCCATCCTGGAACGTTTTTTCTCATAATTTGTACTGAAGAAACAAGCTGGTAAAATGTTGTTTCTTTTTTTCTCATCACAATTGTAGGCAGGTGCCAGTTCAGGCAATGGAGACCACTTTTGTTACCTTTCTGTAGCTGCACGTTAAAGAAATTAGTGCTTTGCCATGAAAGGCTTCCTTTCCTTTCTGACTTTTGCCCTCTCTGCAGGAGAAATGGAAGGCTGACTATATAGGATCAGTCTGGCACATTCTATTTAAGGGTTACAAAATATGTTGTGTCACCTGGACCTCTGGAAAGACAGAAATAATAAGTCGCTGGTTAGCTTAATTACTGTCTGGTGCTTTGTCAGAATTCTTCACTGTTTATCTTTTAAGGATGTGGCTTGCCTCTCTTGCTTTCATTAGCTTCAGCAAATGCAATAATTTCTGAACAGTCACTGTCTGTTTGTGTGAACAGTTCATTTGAAAAATGTCAGTTTTCCTTGTTATGCCATTGCCTTCATATATTGCTCAGATGAACTTGGATCTCCCTTCTTGGCATGTTCATTCTAGGAAAATGCAAGAAAAAAAAACTTGTCTGTCTGATATAAAATTTACATTGAAGAAGTCAATTAAACAGTATAGTCATGCAATCAAAAAGTACTGATTAAGTTTACTTTTGAAAGAAGAAAAGCTTATTTACAGAGAAATTAACTTTTATTTACTTAGGGTGGGCTGGGGAAAGTAAATAATGTATCATGACCTGAAGTCTCAATTTTTACTTAGTTCTTAGCAGGTGCTCACCACAGGTTAGTGTATGCTAGTGTGAAAACAAACAAAATAGTATTACTACTGAAACAGAAGCAAATGGAATATAGAGAAAGCAGAAATTAAATAGTGTCATGGCCGTGATTTTAATGTCCTTTGGAAGGGAACATAAGTTTTGGTATTCAGATTAATGTGAGGTACGTGCACGGTGAGTTGAACTCAAAAGCAAGGAAGGGAAGAAAGTCCTAAAATGTATAATGTTACTTTAATTACATATTTCAAAATGAGTGTGTAATTTCCATTATTTTAATTATGGGTGATTTATTTTTATTAATGTGCTAGGTATTGAATAAAATACAAGTGACAGCTTGGCAAATACACATCAGGGCTGTTGAAATAAAAAAAAAGGAAGACGTGGCTGGAAGCAGGCTGCTACAGATTACTGCAGAATCCTGACCTCAGTTTCCAAACCATGCTCCTGTGTTGATTTAAGCTAGAGCACATTGCTCTTTTCTTGAAAACAGTGCATCATTGGTGTGGTGTCAAAGGTTGTACCAGTACTAAACTGTAGCATATGTTTTCCCAGTTATTTCATTCAAGAAGTTGGTATTGTATGGGATTTATCCTTAAGAAATCCGTGGCATTTTTATCATCTTATCCTCCAGGATTTTATAGGTATTGTTTATTTAGGCATTTGATCATTATGAATAGTTTCATTTATATATACTTATACCCTTTTCCTAGAAAGACAGGTAGGTTTGCTCTTCTTCTCAGTCCTCTTGCTGCTTGCCTCTTCTCCGCAAGATCCTGAAGATTTTTTCTCGCAGTTAGCAAGCTTTACATGAAATGTATCTAAACATAACTTATGTTTTTTTCTCCCATTCTCCTTGAGAAAAGAGCTCCTTTGATCTTTTAAAAATACTGTTGTTTTACCTGTGGTTTATTTGTATAACCTCTTTTTGTTAAAGTCTCTTTCTAATTTTATCTTCTGCATGTGTCTTTCTGATTTTATTTCAAAATGTTTGTGCTGTTTCTTTGTGTCACCTTTGTCTTTGTTGTCACCATTTATTTTCATGAAGCTTCTGATCGTCAGTTCAGAAGGCCTTTTGGAAATTGATAATGTGATTTTATGATTCGAATTTAATTATGGTTATAAATAACATTTTTTAAGTTGTTCTTATATTTACGATTAAATTAAGAAGCCGTTTGTAAAGTTGTACTTTCAGTTGTACATGTGCTTCTTAATAACATTCAGCCATCCTGTACTCCTTTTCCTCATCAAATGTATTCCCAAGCAGCCTGCAATATTACCTGTTGCTTGATTTTTTGTGTGTGTTTGTCCCTCATCATCCTTGTTTCTCTGCGCTAATTCCTTCTTTTCCTGAAATTTCTGATTCTGAGGGCTTTTATTCAAGTGACATTCCACCCTAACAGTTTTAGCTGCTGCTTCTATAGGAAAACCTGTGATTTGCATTATTTCTAATATTAAATTATCTCTCTTCTGTTCGCTTGTTCCTTCTCTGTGTCTGGAAGTTGTCCTCACCATGTTCCAAAAACTGTGGAACTGTTTGAAAATCCTGCTGTCATTTTTCTCTAACAACTGCCAGGTAGTTGGACCATCCCTGTGCAACCATCTGCACACCTCTGGAGGGTTCTTTGATTCTAAAGATCTTAAGGAAAAAAAAAAGTAGTAGAAAAAAGTGTTTGAATACTCCACGACTACTGCCTGTTAATTAGGTAGTTAGCTTATCGTATTAAGGAGGTCTCTAGCTAAAGTCTTGTTGAGGCAGTAGCTGTCCCTGATGACAGCAAAGCTGAACTTGCTCTCTTCTCCCCCTTCTACCATGTTTTGCGGTGCATTTAAGAGTTGAGTGTTTGTTTGTGCTCTTGTTTTTCTTTAGTCTCTGCTACAATCCTCTGTCTGTTTCTCTGTTCTGTGCAATTTTATGTTTAGTGATCAGGTTAATTTTTGGGAGGATTACTGGCTTTTTGTCTCAAAACTGTAAGCATA